ACACACCCATGGCCCCACACAACATAAAGAGTTTTGGTGAGCTGTTGGGGAGGGTTGGGGGGTGGAAATAATTGCCCAAATAGTTACCCACCCCTTGTTTAAGTGCTTTACAGTTGTTGTCATGCTAAATAGTCTATATAAAATTTATGTCTAGCCTGTGGTTCTCGACCTGTATATACATGAAGCACCCCTAGGAAAATGATAGCTCTTAGCTTTCATTTGTTTCTTGACTACAAAAAATGGAGTTCTTCTATTGTAAAAAACTGAAAGATCACAGCAAGTATGGATTCTCTTTGAAATCTCTGGGTTCATCTTGTAAATCATGTTTGTACACTGAAGAGTCCTAACTGTGTGGCACCCATGGCACCCTTAAAATAACCTTGAGGCACCCCAGGGTGCTGCAGCACCTTGATAATCAGTCTATACCAAATCATCTGATACAGAAATAGTACTATATTTAGGAAAATCATAATATATCCAGTGTTAGCACTGGGAAAGCTTGCATTACTAGGCTGCTGTCTCAAATGGGTGGGAGAGTCAGGCATAGAAGAAGGTCTAGCTCAATGATTCTCAACCTTCTTAAGCTTAAGGCTCAGAAAATGCTAGGTCTTAGCTGTCACTTGTTTCCTGACTACAGAAAAATAACAGAACAATTCTTCTATTACAGGTAACTCCAAAAGACCACAACAGGCCAGAATGTTTTTGACACTCTGGATTCCTATTTGAAATCTCTGTGGTTACTGGCTGAATCAGGTGTAGGTGTTTGCACATCTAACAATGCACAGTGGATGCCTCTACACATGCAGTTAATTAAACTACTCCTGGGTAGAGCATCTACACATGTGCCCAGGACAGCAGCAATTTGAGTCTTGGCAGAGCAGGACCAAGCTGGCAGGGGGCATCGGGGGTCAGCCCTAGGCTCTGGGTGGCGGTGTTGGGCCTAGGTGGGACATGAGGGTGCTGAAAGTTTGGAACTGTGTGGCTAGGCAGCAGGCAGGAGTCTGGCCCCTAGCTGGCTGGGTTGATGGGGCACAATTTATGCCCACGGTCAGTGTCTAAACATGCATTTAATTGCAGTAAATTACCCTGGTGTTAACCCTGCGACATTAATTAGTTTAGTGCAGCCTAATACCATTGCATGTGTAGATAGTGATGATACTTTATTCTGCAGCTAATTAGTCTACTCTGCAGTTAAGCCCATGCGTAGAAATGAGGCCAGTGAGTGAGCATCACTAGTCTAAGTCAAGTATTGCCATGTTCACCCATCCCCAAGTGATAGTAGATCTTAGGGATGACACCCATGTTTTAGGGCTCCTCAGAACAAATGTTTGTTATACCAATCAATCACATAAACTCCTGGAGCCTAGCCAGACACTGTCTCCATCCCATAAATGATTTTCCTGAATGGTGCCCTTTGTAAAACTGATTTGAAGTGGCTTGTATTGTGTTGAATGTTCAATATGTCACTCAGGCTTAACAGACAAGGGCTGCAGGCTTCTTTAGTAAAAGTCTTCCAACTTTACTAAACTGCTGTCTGAACTGTTGCATTGCTGGGAGTACAGAGCTATGTCCAGCTGCCATGGTCAACACCTGCGCAGAGGAAAGGAGGTTTTGATGGCAGAAAAATATTAACCAAACAAATTCTTCTGTTGCAAAGAATGCAGAAAGTCCACAAATCAGAATGTTTTTCACACTATGGAATCATGTCTGCACACCTAACAGTGCACAACACCCTATAGTACTCTTGAAAGGATTTCAGAGTACCCCAGGATGCTATACTACCCTAGTTGAAAATCACTGGTATATAAACTGCATCTCCTCCCCTTCCTTCTGCATGACTTTGGGCAAACATGGCTAACTAATGACCTCTCCCTGTATTGACAAATACAGAACCAGTCATAGCCACTCTAACCACAAAGCCATCAGATGCCACAAATCCAATACATGTCTAGCCCAGATGTAATAGATCTCATCCAGTGACCAAATGCCCTCATGGAAAGTGGGTGGGTAAAAGCAGACAAAAACTGCTCCAGAATGAATGAACACAGCAAAAAAGACAAAGCAGCAACACACAAACACAGGTAGATTACTTTTCACTGAACAACCACTCACTTTTTGCTTTCTCAAACTTGTACTGAAGAAATTTACAAAAACACCTTCAAAAGCCCAGCTTGGGAACAAAAATTCAGCACTGGACACCAAAAACCAGGGACTAAACAGAGACAGTGACTGTGTTTTATTATAATCCAACTGCTTAAGCACTCTGCACTCCATTATTCTTCCTCTTAAATGGTGTAGCTCCATCTGCTTACCAGCATATCCTTCTTACTGCATTTATCAAGTCAGGCTGTGTGAAGCTTCGGTTGCTGATTCAATTTGGCGGAGATTCGGCCCGATTAGGTGACTAAATCTCTAAATCCAAATTGAAGCAGGAGACCCTTTAATCTCTCCAAATCGAATCAGAACCCTCCAAATCGATTCGGAAAGATTTGATGATTCGGACATAGACACAGCTTTAAATGTTTTTTCTACATACCTCGAGGTACCAGGCAGCTTGTGAATGCTGCGATGGTGGGGCAGATTGGGGACCCCGCGCTCCTGTGGGACTCTCTGAGTGCTTAGCAGCAGACCTGGAAGTGGATCCGAAGCACTTCTGGTTCCACCGGGGAGCACGCTGGGGGGCCTCCCCACACACCCCCGCCTCGGCAACTGGTGCTGCTTGGGTCTGGGGGCATATGCAGGGATTTCCCCCCCCCCCCCCC